CAAGCCTAGAAAGTCCCTTTTCAAAAACATGTTTTTAAATTATGAACCATAATGATGTGTGCCAAACTAAAAAACCCACAACACAACAGAACTATAAATCTAACTAACTGCACTACCTTCTTTTCCTGGGGGGAAAGACAATACGGTACGTTCTTCCTCCTTTATAACACCTCTAACAGTGACAGACTTACATTGCCATCACCTTTTTTGAAAATGCTTAGGCACCTTAAAAACGAGAACTGTATTGCTCTCAGTTGGCTGCAAGCATATGCAGACCCTTTCTGCAGCCCACCATGACCTGCAGGCCACATGGAGCGACTCTGACAGCATCCGTGGGAACTGCCAGAGTCATACCATCTCATAGGAAGTTGAAGGAGAAGTGGTGCCTAGAGAAGCTCCAAGAGCAGGCAAGCAATGGAGAATGGGTTCCCTTCTTCCCCTGCCCAGAAATTTGCCTTTTCCAGGGTAGCTACCTGGAGGCAGAGCTGAACCTGGTCCTTCTCCATCCTGGCTGGGGTCACACAGAGGGTCCGCAGAGTGCCCTTGCACAGACCATGCTAGGGAGTGGGGTGGGCAGAAACCTGCAGGCATGTTCCCTGTGCTGGCTGCAAGGGAGAGCCTGGCCGTAACAGTTCCTTTCTGGGGACATGCACAGTGACCCTAGCACGTGGAGCATGACCTGCCTAATGGCTAAAAAGCTAACATCTGCTTTGTCTGATCCCCAGCTCCTGTCTCAAAGGGCTGAAATCCAATTCACCTCAAACCATCTGGAGCCCACCTCCAAATGAGTAATTCCTTCAAGTCTTGTTTAATCCATCTGCAAGCAGCTCCACTCTTTGGTCTGCCATGAAATGAATCCCCTCTGAGGGCCCAGAGCAGGTCAGTATGAGCTGAGTGTGTGTGTGTGGTGGGGCAGCTATTTGCTAGTGAACGTCTCGGGCATCTCCCCCTGTCCTGGCAGAGGAACAGCACCAAGGCTCAACTCCACTTGCTGTGAGCTTCCACCGTGACAACCTTTGACAAAGGAGGTGTGAGCCACAGCAGCTCAGGGGTTGCACAAGGTGCACCTCTGACAACTGTCATTACCTCCCATTTTCTGCCCATCTGCATAACTAGATGGGGATTAATTCTCTTCTCCTGCAAGGAAGAATAAAGTGGATGCTGAGCCAGAAATCCAGTTTCAATACCCTTCACAAAGTAGCTCTTCCATCTTTTGGAGTATTATATTTAAATAAGAAAGAGGAACTTGAAGAATAGTATTAGCATAACATTCATAGAATCATAGAATCATTACATATGATGCTTCAAATTTGTAGGTATTATTAAAGAATACTGTGGTGTCAACATGATCCATAGTATAACATCAGTGAATGATGAGAAAGGAGAAGAGAAACAATTTTTATAAAGCACAAGTATCTCTCCACAATGCTAAAAAAGGTTCAGTAGTCACTGCTCATCTCCTCGTGCATGTGTTTTGTTTGTTAACGTTACCGCAAAATCTCTGTGGTAACCGCATGCATGTTTCACAGGTGAGCAGGATTTTGTTCAGCAGAAAAATTCAGATCATGAATACCCTTTAGCCATGAAAATTTCCAATACATTGAAGAGTAGCAACTGCACAACCGATCCTGCAGTACCACCAGCAGCCCTTGAATTGCCTCGCCTCTAACACAATGACTTTGTATTTCATAAAAACATAATCAAAGCCAAGCATTCAGACAACATTATCAGTGTTGCCGAATCCTGCAGGTGCTACCTGCCTCTGCAGATCAGCCTGTAATGATAATGATAGTTTGTGTGCATGTCTGTTAATTTAATAGCAGAGGCAATAACACTGTTACAGTGCTCTTCAGTACAGGGCAACCCTCTCATCACTGCCCTTAACCTCCACTAAACCCTGTGTAGGGTCTGATGACTCTGGGCTGTAACACTGCATGATGCTGAGGGCCAAGGGAAGCCAGCAGGCAGGATACCCAGTGCCTCTTTCAGCTCCTGACTTGCAGTATAGCCTTCCTTACGTTGCTTTCACCTGGCTATGTCTGCTCTGCTGGTCTAGATAGGGGGAGAAAAGCAAGCTCTGGTCCTGCCCATTACCCTACTCTTGGCCATGGAAACAGGTGAAGCTGTGCCTTCATGCCACCAGCAAAGATGCGGGCAGTCTTAACATAGCCAGATCCAGAGAGGAGAACTTATGGCCCAGATCCACAAAAGTACCTGCCTAATGCTCTAGCATTAGGTTTCCATCAGATACAAGGTACAGACAAAATTTTGAGGGCAGAAAATTCTAGTGATTACTTCTGCTCATGACTTTTTTCTCCCCACCATGTCACTCTTTGCTTTGTACTTTTCGCTTCTCTTCAGCATAACAAAGAAAACGAGACAAAGTACTTCCCCTGGCACACCGTGTCCTTCCTTCTCAGCCTCAGCCCCAGCAAGTACCACCAGATCGGCCTTCCGAACCACAGGTAGCAAAACCTACCATTCATCACTGGCAGCCTCTGTGCCGCTCTGGAGTACGTTTCCCTTCAAAAGCCTGCTGCCAGCCGCACTCCAGTGAGCCGGCAGCTGCCTGGCTGCCGGGGAGGGGGATTTAGGAAAGATATTCCAGGGGACAGCTCAAATTTCATCCTCTCATGTAGTTCCATGGCTCTCCTCCCCACACTCTCCAGACTTCCACTGGTATTTGTACAACCACTTAAAAACACAGTTTAGGGGCTTGGGGAGGGTTCCTGCTTGACCTCAGTATGGAAGGTGGGCAAGCAAGGGCCACAGCCTAGAGTACATTGCTTGCACCTCGTTGGTAAGGGGCAATGCTGCCCCATCCACCCTGGCCAAGTACGCAGAGTTTAACTGTGTCTGCAGGAACTGCCTTTCAGATCGTTTTTTTAAGTGGATCTGTTAGCACAGTTTAGCTGCCAGCATCGATACAGTAGAGCTCTTCTGTGCTGCCTACAACATAACGGGGGCTGGCAGCCTCCCCAAAACACAGCTGTGCCTGGAGATTTCCTCTCTGGCCGCAGTGCCCACGTGTTGGAGCAGAGGTGGAGAAGCAGCAGCAGCTCCACCATGTGCTTCTCTCACATGGAATAGTCCCCCCTGCATGCACGTCCACCCCGCTCCTGCCAGGGCTTACTCCAGTCTAATTGCTGACGTGCCCAAGGTTCCTGCAACGATTTGTTTCTTTTCCTAAACTATTCCGTAATGTTTGCAGAACGTAAACCAGTTAGGACATCTTGCCCGGGGACAGACATCAGCAAACCAGAGATTCAGAGGAAGCAAAGCTAAAGGATGCTGGCACTACAGTACTTCAACAGGGTACCAGTGTCTCTCCTCCCTCCTACCACACATCCAAAATGTGCAGTGAAGTAAGCAAGCACTGTGCAGCCTGAACAGAGCGGCTACGGTTTATGCTATACTGCCTCATCTGTTCTTTGCACCAGCTGTTCCTGGAAGGAGGTGCCACTGAATTGTTTCTCTCTTCCTCTGATGCTCTGGAAGAAAGACAGAGGGCATTTTTCTTAATCTTGGCTTTTTAGCAAAGGGAACAGGACTGGATTGTTTTGCACTGGCACTTGCTACCTTCTTATCCCATGCCCTTCTTGCTGCACAAGCATGGTACAAGACATTACATGCTGAAATAATATTTAGGTTTGCAGCTGGGCTCATTACTGCTGTAATTTAGAAGGTATAACCAGTCATCAGCATTTCAAAATATATTCAATTTTCAATAAAGAGGCAATTTCCACAGGGCAATGACCATAAATGAATGACAGTGTACCCAAGAAGAATGAACAAAGCTGCCAGTCTGTCAAGAATTTGCCTGACACGTCATCCCAGTTTAATTAAGGGAAAAAAATTACTGTAAGAGACAGGAGAGCAAGTCAACTCTCCTACAAAGGTGCCTCCTTTCCTTTGTGCATTAAAAATAATCTCTCTTTGTTTTGAATTACTGATGCACAAGCAGCTTGTGGCAAATCATTCTCCAGAATTAAATAGATGGCTGAAAAATACGAGCCAAATTCATCCTTTATGCACTGGATAAATTTGACTCTAGATGATTTGTGGGTCTTTCAAACTCACCTCAGTGTATCAACTAAATATTTTCCCAAAATTTTGTGCCCTGAAGGCACTGAGACAACCCCAACTACAGGCAACTCTCAGCTCTCCGGCGAGCGGCTGTGGTGGCCACGCTTCACTCCTCTGCCCCAGGGGCACGGAGCTGCGGCCGACCAGCACTGCCCTTCCCAGCCCTGCGCTGCACCTCTGAAGGCACCCCAGCAAGCTGTGCCCCGGAGCCTGCCAGACAACATCTCCTAGCCAAATCCAGTTTCTTCCATTTCTGCAGTTTCAGTGCAAGAGCAAAAAGCTTTCTCAGTCTTTGGAGAACTGCTTCAATCCGAATAAACTTTTCTATCAGAGGTCTAGTGTCTCAGCACGCCAAGGGATGCAAGGCAGCTCCACGGACATTGCTTACACCAGCTAAGAACCTGTATGGTATTATGGCCAAAATAATCTGTTTTCACTGACTCAATGATCTGACTAATGGATAAATGTACAATAAAAAGGTATTATGTTTAAATCAAAATATTTCTCTATAGTTCTGGAAATCTAGATACAGTAGCACCATGTGTGCGTGGAGAATGAGAAAGCTAAGACTGCTTATAAAATAAAAGTTGTGCTGTCTAGAGTACTTGTTTTGTCAAACATGAGTTAAGTCAGAAGAAACAATAAAAACAGTGCATTTTTCAAGAACATTCATTTCAGGGGGGTAGTTTTCTCCAGTTTAATAATCAAAGATACCACAACACATATAAATAAACTGGGGACTGAGAGCTGTAGTTTTACGCTGGTAATGTTCCACAAGGCAAATATATCTAAGTGCATTTATCTCTTCTCAGAGCAGACAGGTAAAAGCATTAGCCTCCATCATGCTGTTGTCTGTTATCAGGTCTACATGCAGGCCCAGAAAGACTATGTAGTACATGTATAAATATACATACCCGACTTGGGTACAGTCTCGATATGGCAGCACTGAAAATATGCTACAGAAGGATCTTCTGCTGCTGATAAGGACTATTCTAAAATATAAAAGAAAATAAAAGAAATCAAAGACTAAAATTTAAAAATCCCACCACAATAAGCAAAGCAACAGATGTTACCGTTGAGGAATTCATAATCATGAACGTTCCATCATGGATGATTTCTCCCTCCTCTTTTTTATCTCACAGGTAGGGTATTGCGCTACTGAGTCTTTACAGAAGGCTGAAGCCTGTGCCATACATTACACAGCAAATGAGTAGTGGAGTCCCATCCCCTCTACAGGCTTTCTAGGAAGACTATCTTGAATACATCACTTGGAATCCAGGATAGATGTTTTTCTAGCGAAAGGAGTCCTAGTGAAAGGAGCCCACCCAGAGAGGCAAGGAGCTGTTCTGACAACTCACCACTGTGGCTGGAACTAAACTGACAAATCCAGCAGCAACCCAGGTGATAACACACCAACAACCACCTGTGATGCACACCACAACTCTGCGGCTGACTTGGAGTCTGCATTTATCAGACAAGAATTTCCAGCTGCTGGTCATGACCTTTCTCTGCTAAACCAAAGGACTCCCTTGATTTTCAGCTTCCTGTTCCTGAAATAGCCCGATCCATGGATGAAGTCAAAGTTCGCTATTATCGTAAGCTTTCAGGTCCTTTCACTGTTTTCCAGGTTCCTCCTTGAGTCTTTTCCAGTTTTTCCCCATCACCCTTCTTGGTCTCTGGGCAGCATCACTGGCCTCAGCAGTTGCACAGATGGCAGATAAAAACATCACATCTTCCAGTCTTACCTTTAAGATCAGTGTCTAGCCCTGATGACCCACCAGCCTCTGCGCTCAGTAATCACATCAGCCCTCTTGGTTATGATGTTGCATTGACACTCAGGCATGACTGATCCCACAGCTCCTCGCCCCTTCTCCTCCAGCGCCACGTCTATCTCAGTCACTACTTGTCAGGGCTGAATCCCTCCTGGGATTCATGGAATCCAGGAATGAATCCAATCCCAGGAATGAAGCCAATCCCATGGCTTGCCTTCATTCCTTATAGGCAAGTAGCTCAAGATTTGGCTACGTGAAAGCATCCATTATCTGCCTGCACAGAGCTTATCTCAGAATCCAGGCCACTCTTACAGCAAACGCCTTGGATTTTTAACCAGTCTCCAAATCTCTGCATCATCTGCAAAGTCACTGGGTGGCATTAAATCAAATACCTTAGAGCAACCTATCTGTTTTACAGCCACACTATTATCTTTAGCCATCAAGCTCTGACATATCATTAAGCAACATCAAAACCACCTTGAGGTCAAGACCCACTTTCCATAAAACTGCACGGACTACCAATAGCTACATTACTATAGTTTTGGGAGATGCAGATTGGCAAGAAGCCAAGAGAAGCTTGATCAAGATGCAAGATATAAAATGCCAATAAATAACTGATTGTTTATAAATATACCCTCTTTCCTCAGGACACCTCTTTTCCTTCAGGACACCGACAATTGTACAACCGTACAACGTACACTAAAAAGACCCTTCTTCCCTCTAAAGTTGGCCAACAGGCTGCATCCCCTCAAATTCCTCTAAGACACGGTGATAGCAATTCATGCCATCTTCTAATCTGATTAGTGTTAGAATTTACTGATGTTTTTACCTTTCTAAAAATCTCCAGTTGTGGTCCAAATGCTTGGACCTACTGCTAGGTTGGTTGTCAGGGCTATTGCACTTCCTTGCTCAGCTCTCCGACATTGATTTTTCTGATGTTGGGTGCCACAGATCTGTATGTGAGGATTTCACCTGAATTTTTCATCCTTTGTCCTACACTGGTCAAAGTTGGACAACAAACCCTTGCAAGCTATTTTGTTCTTTACTGTCCGAAAACCACCATATGCACCTATACCGGTTACGCTGTTATTAAAACACTGTTTCCTTAAGGGACCAGCTTAGTCATCGTTCTTGGAAAAGGTTTAGATCCCCAAGACAGCTGCTGCATGTAATGCTTGGAAAAATGCAGAATGATCAATTTTCCTTCTCCTGGATCATTCTGTTATAGCAATCCTATTTTCTTCCTTAAAAGCATGTTTAAAAGCAAAGTGGTATTTACCCTTTAACAAAGGAGGGTTTCTAATAATAAACATGCATACAGCATTAGGAATTTCTCCTGCAGCAGATGAAGTAGGATTTCATTGTTTGTCTGAATGCTCTAACACCCCTTACCTATGGTAAATATCTTAGATCCTGTAAGATGGTCTCATGGTGCAGCAGGGGGGGAATAATTTTTCACATTTGAGAAAGGCAATCCACAAGCAAAAAAACCTGGCATATGATTAATTTTGTGCTTGCCACTGCTTATTGCTGAATGGTTGCTACTTACAACAGCTTGCTTGTTCACTGGAAGCCTTGTTTGCTGATGTATGAAACTTGGCACAGATTTCGAGGCTGACATCAGAAAGCATCTTTGAATTCGGAAAACCACTGTATCCACTAAGCAAATTCCCCCCACTCCCTCTGGTTGCTTCTGGAAATAAAGCTTTTCCACCAATGCCCTACACCTCCCTAAAAAACACCCCAACTCTTAATACTTAAGAAAAACACGCTGGTGCTTCCATGTCCACAAGCAGAGACAACAGTGGGAAGTTACCACAGAAAACTTGCTGTGTGTATCAGAAGGAATCAGACCAGAAAGGAAATACAAAGCACCAGCCCAGCCTCTAGTTTTTTCAGATTTCCCTCCCTTGGGACCCAAGTATCACCTCTCTTTCCATAAACCGGGGGACCCTCTATTTTACATAAAGATCTCCCAGGCAGAGCAGGAGAGGAACCCACAGCCTCCACTGCCAGGATGCCACAAAACCTCATCTGCAGAGCTGCTGGAGGGGGGCTGGTGCAAAACAGCCTTAGGAGCTGGACTGGAAGAGAAGCAGGGAAGGCAGTGGTCAGAAGCTCATCACGGAGGGAAAAAACGGCATTTTATTTAGAGGTCTGATGATATGCATGGAAAACAAAAAAATTCTGAGGGCCTGCAATGGTTTGCTGGAGCAGAAAGTCCAGAAACTTGTCACAAAGTATGCTTTGCAGAAGAAGGTGTGGTGGAAGCCTGTTGCTGTTCAAGAAAATCGAATTATTGTTTATGGGAGAAAAGCATTTTCCTGGATTTCAACTCTTCAACAAAGGGCGTCTACGACTCTGCGCAGCTCTGAATGAGCTATCTCTGACATCAGAAGCAGCTTGAGTCAGAGTGGGTTTACGTGCCCTGATTGCCACTGTGCCACCTAGACATGTTTAAAATTACTTCATGAAAAGGTTTTCACTCTCTAATTCTCACATTTCACCAAGAAGTTATACTAATTACTATGGTTCAGAGCAACCATTATTTTGCAAGAGAGCTCTGACAATGCAACTGTCTGAGACTGTAAAAGCTAATCTTCCAATTTCTTTAATGAGGTGTATGCTATGAAACTACAAAAACTTACTGAGCACAAGGCTCTCAACAGAATCGGTAATTCGCTTGACTTGGAGAAGAAGAATGTCTGTTTTCTTTAGTGTCTGTCTAGGTTTGATCGTGTTGCACCAAAAGGCTGCGATCAGGCAACGTGATATACATCGTATGTACCATATACATGCGGAATACTGTAGCCTCTGTTCTCATACCTGATTGATGATGTTTGACTACCAAGGCTTTGCTGCCCTGCATGCTAAGGTGCACACACAAACCATGAATGCTGCCTGGGTAGCAGCCACCATTCTGGAGTCTCCCAAGTTCAAGTTGGGGCTATTGGAAGGTGGCTGAGGGTAATTATGAACTGTGAGGATGCTGCGAACAGTCAACCTCTTAGAATGCATGTGTGTGCATTTCCACAATTAAAAGGGCAGCAAAAGAGACCTTTCATAGCCTATGGGTGGTGTTTGGCCTTGGTTTAGATCTGTATACTAACAAAAAAATTGAGAAAGCAATGGCATGGGGGTGGGAGAAGAGCATTGTTTTACTGTTTTTATATCTGCTATATAGGATGACTCTAGAAATGTTCTTGTCCCATTCTCACCATGAATTGTTTGTTCAGCTGGCTCAGGTTGCTGTTTTGGTGGCCTGTTTCTGCTAGATAGGAAATCTTCTGCTTTACAGTTTATGGAAGATACCACCAATAAACCTGCTGAGTAAAGCGGGTGAAACCACACGCTGGTGGCTACCTATGCTAATTTGTATGTTAGGGTTGACTTGTCTTTTGTCCTTTAATGGGAAAATTTATTTTGTGCTATTTTACAAGACTGCTTTGATAATACAGTCTAAGAAACCTAATTTTCCAGCTCCTTTAATAAGCCACGTCCTACAAGAAACCGGTTTAACCAGTGCCCAGAACCATCAACAGGAAGCTTTACAAGGACTAGCTGATAAGCCGTGGTCTGTGTATAGGTGGCCTTTCTCTGTGCTAAATAGCTGAACTCTTATTTTAACCACAGCTGGTCCTGCCTTGCTGCTGGATCCAGGGCATCGGCACTCAGCACGTGCCATCCCCAGGGCTGAGAGGGGAAGAGCTCTCAGTGCTGCAGGACAAGGACACGTCACTTTACAGGTCGAGAGCCGCAAATAAGGCCAGTTACCAGAGAAAGAAGCCCTGAGCTATCATCCACACTGCAGTTTTCTTTGCTGTGACACTCACAGTCATAAGCCACTGAAACAATTACTGAAAGTGCTAGCTATTTTAAAGCCCAGCTATCAAATTCACCACTCAAAAATATATTCTGTATAGATGTTTTCAAAGCTGGGTTCCTCAAGTTAAGTGAAAGGCTGACGTGCTGCGACAGAAGGGTCAGGGGTTTTGGAGAGAGCTCAGAGACCCCGACTCCAGCGCGGCTCAGCACCTGCATCCTACATGACCACGCACAAGCCACCTAAGACGAGGTCCCGGGCACGGGAAGGAGCCCCAGGAGGGTTTTCTATCCATTGCAATACCTGTGCTCATCCGTGTCACAGCGAATCGAGGAGGACACCAGCTTTAAAGGTCTTAAGGTACTCAGAAACTCTGTTGATTTTACGATGAACGCATAAAGCAGATCCACCTGAATTTCCACAGGTCCTTTTCATCCAGAATGCCTACTAACTTCAGTGACTGCAACAGCATCCAGACCCCTCAGAAAAACAGGGTATGCACTCAGATTACTTACTGCTAGACTTATCTGGCCTTAGGGGTGACACAAAGTGTTGACTTTGCATTTTATTTTTAGGTAATATCGCTGTGGCTCTTTGTCCATAGGACAAAAAGCATTTTCAAAACTGTGTATCTTATTCTTACTGTATCTGTGTTCTAGATAAAGGGTTCTTTAATATGATTATGGAAATATTCTGGAAAACTCTGTCTGCTGATAAAGATAAGAAGCCAGCTGAATAACAGAATCTTACTCACTGTTTTCTTAGCAAGAAAAATATTCAGTTATATTATCAGACGTAATGACTGATACATAAACTACGATAAAATGCTAGGATATATCCTACAAATACTTTTTTGCAACAGATGGAGAAAAGAGTTTACGAATCAAATATTTATTCATTTTTTCGCAGGTAATATTTCTATCAAGTTTATGGATGTATTTTATATTTGCATCTCAGAAATTACTTGTTCTCTGTGGAATTTGCATTAATACTTTATGAGTAAGTATTTTTTGCTACACGAAATTCCCAGAGTGTACATATATTTATGTACAAAACAGACTAAAATTAGAGGGCTGCTCTTCAGCATTTGATTCCACATGTATTTGTTGTAAAGACAATAACCAATTCGCTGCTAGTCAGACAATAGTTAAGTCAACAGTTCTGCATGCGTCTGTTTGCTACAAAAGCTGTTTCTGAAAAGCCATCATCTCTCAGAGGCACCTTCTGCAATATTTATGCTGATTACTACCTTTCACTTCATTTAATTGTACATGTGAGAATAAACGTGAGGAAAATTTTGCTCAAGCCAAGTAACACCTACCAGAATTCAATTCATAAAACCTGTGGTTCAATATAACGCCAGAGTTTCTATTGACCTGGTTCCACGTTGGATGGAAACTACAGGCTATGTGCACAAATAGGTCCACAGAAACGTACGTGGTTCTCGCCCATGGCAGTTGTATGAGAACAGGTATGTGCAAGGGTCAACTCTCAGTGGGATGGTTTAGTCTATATGCAACCTGTTCAGGTAGTCTATTTAAAGCCTATTCAAGTTTGGAAGGACAAGAATAAAATCATGAGGCACGTGGGGAAATTGCCTTGGGAAAAAAACCAGAGAGGGCAGATGTCTTCTTTATAAGCAGGGAGGAGCTAGTTTTACTTCTGAGCTGGATGATACTGCAATAAAGAACCTATTTTGCTGATGGGAACACCATGACAGGCACTGCCTTTGCAGTAAGGGAAGTCCCTGCCGACCGGTGTTGTATAGGTCCCACCGGTGCCTATGGCTGCAATCCGGGCAGTGCATGCCCCAGCTCGGGGTGTGCCGTGGCCACAGCTGCACTCCTCACACATCCCCCGGGAGCCCTTCTGCCTGCGTCTGCCCTGAAAACAAGGATCCCACTCCTCGCCTTGCCACAACCATCCCCAGCTGCACGTTTACCAACCAGCACTTTGCATCCAGGAAGACACAACGGTGCGACTGGGATCTGTCATGTTTATAATTTATCTTGTAAGACTCAGGATAATCTTAAAACCTTTCCCTGAAGCTGTTTTCTTGAGTCACTTGTCCGGTAAGCCTCCCACCACAGGCTGCCCTGACAACCCAGCTAGCTTGACGCCTACCCTTACACCCACTAATAGCTGTTGAAATGCCATTCAGCCATTACTAAACTTGTTCCCGGCAGGTTCGGCCATGCGCCCCTCTCACACTTAGCACCTGGCACTACCCTCGAAGAAATGCAACCAGATTATGCCTAGTTTACTTGGACTGATTTTCATTTTACGCAAGTTATTTGTATTATGGACACACAGGTCTTAAAAATCCATGAGCTAGCACTTCCATTGACTCGTACTTCACCCGAGGAAGGAGCGTGCACTGCAGCCTGCACCTTCACAGACTATTTTAAAGCCCATTACTATATATTTGGTTATGCGGCAATGGCACACTGTGGTCTTGCACGGGGATGCTGACCCTGCCCTTTCCCTCGCGCCCCATGGATAGCCTTTGCAGAAGCAGCCTTTGCATGCACAGTACCTGCCGTTTCTGGTATCGTGTTGCCGCATGTTCTTGATAAAATGAACCTTCTTAAAGTTCTTTGGTCTGGGTGATCCTGAGAGTGTCCGACATCTGAAAAATAAATCAGTTGGGAGGGGGAAAAAAAGAAAAAAATAAAAGTACTCAGTTCCCTGCTGTACGGCCAAGAAGTCTACACAAAGGCAGGAAGGAAAGACGAGACAAATGATTCAAGTCACCCTGTGTTAGGAATCAGCAAGAACAATAAAGACAATAAGTCTGGAAATGTAACAGCTCAAATAAAAAAAAATATTTAAAATAATAATAAGAAAAGGCACCACCACCCCTCCCTTCATGCAAAAAAACACATCATAAAAAAATCTCAGCAAAATAAAACTTCCTGTAATCTGCTGTGACAGCTTAGCCCAAGCTTTCAGAGGAGAAAAAAAAAAAAAATCTAAACCAAAACCTGGTAAATATGTGATTTTCCCACTCACACCAACACCCACACTTTTGTACCCTCCTCAGCTATTGATAAAGGAGCTATTGAGGAAAGTTCTTTCGTGTTTTAATTTTAGAAAGATTTAAAATCTCTCATTTGCTTTTAACTCTAACTATCACTTTTCACATTCCTGACAGCATACAAAACAACTGAAAATAAAATAAATTACCTCAGGAAAAAAAAATCATTCTTCAAAACATTAATCCTTAAATCCATTTTACATCTGAATGTACTTTTAAAATTGCAGTTAGAGAAAGAAATTGCCAGAGGGAGGAGATGAGGCAAACAGCAGTATCCCCCCCCTTCCAGCCTTGCTCTTTTTAATCAGCTGAAACCACAGTGCCATGTGAAAGCTTTCTCTGTTTCATCTCAGTGCTGTTTTGTTGCAAGGCACGGCATGACGCGCAGGCACCGGAGATAACTCCTGCGCTCGCTGCACGGCCAGGACTGCTGGACCGCAGCCCCTGCATCCGCCGTGGGAGCTAAGGGACCAGCATCCTCCGCTGGCGCACGGGACCAGCACAGTCCCTCTGCGTTGAGCCTCGCTAACCTATTTTTCCCATCCTCTCCTATGCATTGGCAGACTTCAGCAGCTTCCCAAGCCCGAGAGGTCCTTTTGTTGGACCGAAACCCCAGACCACCACTCCCAAGGCACCAGGGACTGCCAGTCCCCGTTGCTGTACCCAAACACCATCATGCTGCATGGGCACACCCCAAGGGGGGGACCCCAACACTTTGCCATTTCTGCCTTCCTCCTGTTAGTAAAATCCTTGAGATTCCCTCACCCTCTGGTTTCAGTTAGCCTTGTTAGCTTCTTCACGGGAAAATACCACCAAGAGAGAGGTTCTACCACCAATTCTGCAAATTAGCAAGTAAAAATACTGCCTCGCAAACCATACTTTGTTTATACCTTTTGCCAATTATACGTGTTTGAATCATTTATGAGAATGCTTTCATAACATGCTGGTAAGCATTCAACGGTAAGCTTTGTAAAAATAATCAAGCCTTGGTAATAGGCCAGTTGGTACAGCCTCTGCTATTAAGTCTGCTTCGAGGTGGGGAGAGACAGCCAATCTGCCTGTGGATAAACAAGGCTATAGGCTAAACACTGATATAAACCAGCTGAATTACAGGTCCTAAGATAAAGAGACATTCAAAATTAAGCTGCCGCCTTGCCGAACAGCTGACCTGGAACCATACCACGCACTGGTCAGATTACTGATCAGCCTGTTTCTGAACTGTGAAGCAGTTGCTCCATTTTCCATCACCCCAGAGGACTGCCTAGTGACTAATTACTGCGGTCCCCAGAGAAGCTGTGGCCTCCTGGATGCAGAAATAAAACCGCACCGAAGCTGCTGATATAACAAGGATGGGGGCAGATTTATTGGTGAGGTAGCAGTCACAAACCTACAAGCCAACACACAAAGACATAACGCCGGTTACTGAAATAAGATTGTGTGTGCTGAGAGAACAAACAATAAAAATCCATTAAAAATAAGAATACTAAAATACTATCCTTCAAAAGCTTACTTTATTAAACCAGCTGTACTTACTTTTTAAAGGCACTACGTACATTAGGGGCTAGTCATTCAGTTTAGTGACAACTAAACTTTTCTATTAATCAAATCTGACTTTTTATTTCCTGACATTTTATTTAAATACTGACTTTTTATTTAATAACCTAAAGCCAGGGAACATGTCATTCATGTCACCTACCACCTTGCAGGGCGCATGAGGTTTCGATACCTTTACCCACTATGAAGAACGTCTTAACGTGAACACCCAGCTACTTTTCAACATGGGGAGAGACAGCAAGTCTGTCCGTGCACGTGCCTTACAGACAAGTAACCAGAGAGAGAGTAAATAAAATGACCTCCGCAGCGGGGCATTTTCCTCGATGTCCTCCAGAGTCTCCAGAGAAGATCGCTGGGAGATCAGCCGACGTCTGCAAAGAAAACAGAACACAAAACACCACCGCTGGTTAGAGCGCATGAGAAAGTCCTCAGAGCTGTTATTTAGTAAAGCTCACAAACCGCCGTTCACTAAGCCATACCTTTGGATATTAATAAATTTTGTTCCGTTCTGCTTATCTTACTAAAACTATTTGAGCCCAACCAGAAGCAAGCTTACTCCATACAAGCTTCTATAGCAAAACAGAAGTTGAAACTTCCCAACAGCTCCTCCTCAGTTTGTGCTTTAGGTCTTCCTTCCTTCAAGGGTTTAACACCCACCTAACACCAGTCCCACATTTGCTGTGGTGTAGCTTGCAATGCTACAAGTACAGTTCTTTGATAAAATAATGCAGACGTAGATCTACAGAGACTGCCTGTCGTTCACACTGCCACAGGGGACACTTCTCTTTGCCCCATGCCCTTTTTACCAAATAAATGTCACTCGTTTCTCAGTGATGTCCATCTCATCACTCTTGTGAGGAGTGACTGAAGAGAGTCGAAAGATGACGGAGCCAGCAGCACTGGGCACAAACCAGCAGTTTAAAAGGGAGCCCTGACCACCCCTGTGAGCAGCACAGATGAGTTTAGTCCTGTTTTAAACCAGTTTTCTATGGCTGAGTCAGACCCCTCCTCCACCTTCAGTGAAACGAAGTAAGGAAATCTTAGCATTTTAAGTTTTCTGACTGTCCCGGCAGTCAGGGAAGAAGCCCCGGTACAGGCTTGGTTTTAGCAGCAATTGCTGCTGCACAACCTCCAAACACCCTGTGGTGGGTTGACCCTGGCTGGATGCCAGGTGCCCACCAAAGCCGCTGTATCACTCCTCCTCTCAGCTGGACAGGGGAGAGAAAATATAACGAAAAGCTCGTGGGTCGAGATAAGGACAGGGAGAGATCACTCACCAATTACCATCATGGAAAAACGGCAGCACAAAACGAGGAGCTGCACCCAGCCCTCCAAAAAACCACCGTAAATACAAAAAATAAATGTGTAAGATACAGCCCACCCACAGGCACACAATGAAAAATTAAGCTGGCAACCGTCAAAACGACCCCGTCGGTGGGTGTTAAGCAGCTGCGACAGCCAGTGGAGCGAAGGTGCCGTGCCACAGCACCCGGCTAGCATGGGGAGTGTCAGCACCCATCGCTCCTGGGGGCCATTGCTGAGGTGTACAGTACCTCGCCAGTGATTTTATGAGTGTGAACTTAAATGATAAAAGTCGTCGCAGACTACCACTATTTTTTCCCAACTACTTTAAAATCCTTCCCACTGAGCAGCCTTACTCCCTTGATTTGCATGTAAAGAGTATCCAGAATCTCAATGTGTTATGAGCACCCCCGTGCTTGGAAGGGTGCTCATTAATTTATTCCTGGGCTGTATTTTCACAATAAATTGTTTTCTCTGATGCCAGTGTAAGCAGTTTCTAATCCTTCTTGCAATTTGCTAGCCCCTCCAGTTGTGCTGCTACAACTGTTCCTGCAGCCATGCTGCAAATCTGATTACCGAAATGTTTTTCAGTCCAAAATAACCCTGAGGTTCAGTGATTCAGTTTACTACTAGTTCAAACACCAGATTTCTATCACTAAACCCCAGACAACACATTTGAGGACAGTTTAAATGTCTATGCGGCTTTTCCTGTACTTAGAAAATAATAAAAAAAAACCTCAAACAATTTATAGAGCAACTAAGCGTGAAGCATAATCCTCCTAGGAAAATATGTAAACCTAAATCCCCTCAGGCTTTGTCTAAACTAGAATTTTAAAAGATCTGGTACACGATAGGATACACTTTCAAAATATTAAGAAAAAATAAAGTCTGCATTTCAGGGTGTGCTGAACTTGCTGGCATAGACAAGGAAGAAGAGACCAAATATCTGTCTCCTGTGCCCACGGGTGCTCCCTTGGCTCCATCCACAGTCAGAGGACACACAGATGTTCTCACAGGAAGAAATTCAGATGAGGAGGAGTTCCCCCTCCATTTTCTATTACATTGGTCCATAAACAAAAGTTGGAAGTTTCAACTACCAGCATCACTGATGTAGCAGATGATAGCTTTGCTTTTTAATACCTCTTTATATGTTATTAGCTTAATAACACACTTAAATGATGGTACCCTCCCATCTTGTGGTGTTACAACACCAAAAGCATACTTTGCATGTTGCTAGTCAAAGAGAGATAAACAACAGTACAACCTTGCCACCTTCTTCATATTAAATTTATCAAACTAGTCACACAGTATTTCCCCTTGCTGCCTGCTAGATGCTGTAAGGCGCTTGTACAACACTAGATGCATATTCCAGCCACCACCGCAACCCTCCTCTAAGCCTCTCCTCACCCGAAGTTACCCACCATCCTCCACATCCAGTGGCTTGGCGGAGATGGGTTTGAAGACTGCACGTTCTGCATTTGCATCTGTTATTAAGGCAGATGCATTGGTTGGCAGAAATACACACAACTGCATTTCATCAGCTCCGGGGCAGCTTTAAACGCTGGTCATCCAGTTGCCAGCTGACTGTTCAGATTCCTCTGGAATTCCTTGCTGGTTGCAACTTCTTAAACCCAGCACCAGTAATGCTGCCTCCTGGTTTTCGCTTGCTAACCTCGAATGCAACACAAGTAGGATGGGAATTGCTGCCACCCTTCTTGGCACAAAAGAGCTTAC